AGTGTCGGGCATGTTGCATGCGACACAAATGTTGTTGGTGGTATGACAAAAAAATATGAGGCTGGATCTAGTCGAAGACATCAAGCAAAAGACGCGCAAAGGAATAAGCAGGTAACTTATAAAATGTTACAGTTAATGAAATATTGTTGCATACAAATGAAATAATAACCTATATATATGTCATTCTGTATCCGCGATTCTGCCAAACACAACTAGTACCACATTACAACATATGTTGGATTCGCGTTATTGGACTCTCTGACTGATATGTTATTACAGCATGCTTCTTCTTCGGATGAAAGTAGCCCATTTTTTACAGCTTCAGGCCATAATGTTTTTGACATGCCCTTATCGGTGAGACAACAAACCATATTCATTATTGTTCGCTTTCTTCCAGGAGACTAAGCCTATTTAGGGGCTTGATATCGAGCGGTAACCTGTGACTTTTCTGTTTTACATCTTCTGGCCGGTTATTCTGCGACTCAATGGCTACCCCTCCGGCTCTTGGATGAAGTGGTGTGACAGCACCACTATGGATTCTAGAGCTAGGGCCTGGACTTGTCATCTTGGGACTAGGAAGTGGAGAATACTCTGGGCTACCCCTACTGGGTTGCCAAAATAACCCTGCCATCTCACCTCCCATAGAATTATGCCCAGATTTCTGGCTTGAGCCAGGGCTGGAGCAGTGTCCAGATCCAAGGAACGGAAAATCTGGATTAGGTTTTGAGGCATAGAAAGCAGAGTTTATAACTTGATATGTTCCAAATGCTCCTTGTAGATTATGGTAAATGTTGTAGGGACTAAGGATGTATCACTGGATTATGGTATTGGGAGGTATAGTTTTCTGATCATGTCTTCTAACGTAAAGGGCAGAAGAAGGGAAAAATGGGTAGTCAACCTTAGGTAGCAGTTTCATATGAAGCTGGAAAATAATTGGTGAATAATAAGAGAACTTATCAAGTTAGGCAAAATTGATTTCCTAGCAATTAAAAACTGATACAACTACTTTGAAGATGTTTAGTAATTGTTAGAGATGTTGAGTTAAACAATACTTTCAAATCTTAATAACCTGGTCACTTGCTTAGTAGCAACAGGAGTTTCCACTATGATGATCCACCATTTCAGCTTAGCTATTGCACATTCTTCCTCGTCCTACTCGGTACTCATGTTCATCATTAAAGACATGTTTCTCCATCTCTTTGCTTTGTACTTTAAGTTCATGCACCAAAAGAGAGCTCTGAAGTTCACCTACGTTCATTGGCTGGTTAATAAAATGAGAAATGTTTTTTTTAAACATGGTCGGTATGTACACATGATGTTCATCTATTTTGCCTGTTTCACATGCACAACGACATTACATGTACATGAACCTACCAAAACGACATAGCAATTGAGATATGTGAAAATATGCTGCGTAGATCGTACACATAATATGTATTGTTTTACTCAATGTTTTTTTGTTTTCCTAAGGAATGTATGAGGATCATGGGGGAAAAGATTGCGGAATTGTGCTCTCGAAGAGTAGAAGCAGACTTACTGCTGGAAGCATTTGTTGAACAATTCCCGGATGATATAGATTTTGACAGCTTCAAAAGACAATTAGCAGCGTTGTTTAAAGGGAGCAAATGGGATACACGAACAACCGTGGGTACGGATTATGCAGACCCAACGGTGTGCCAAGTCCCTAACCCGGCAGTTGTTGAGGTAACTCCTACGAAGATGGCCATAATACCGGATCCAGACTTGTTGTCGCCGCTGTCGCAATTCTGGACTAGTCCAACGGTTATTGCGGAGGTGGATAGGGCATCCAACGAGAAAACGATGCAGCTGTCAAAGGAAAACAGGAGATATACGCGGTCTGTTCAGAAGGAAGCAGTTGGGATTCATACAATACAGCCGCAGGTGCAGCAAGTTGGTAGCGTACGGAGTAGAAATAGTGATCAGACTGAGAATAAGACAAGTAAGATTTTTAAACGAGCGAGAATCAGCGACAAAGCAATTGCTTTGGGTGGAGGAATCGAGCCACCGACATTTGATTTGGGGATAAGTCCATCAGGGAAACAGGTAGTTGATGTTGTGGATACGGTGAATACACTAGCAATGAAGGAGTGTCCGAGGCTGACCTTGTCGAAGAGGGATCCGAAGTTGAGCTTCAAGCTAAGGTCACCGTATATCACACGTTCTGTTTCATTCGACGTAACAAATGACGAGCGTAGGCTACAATATTGGATCTTAAGGGGTATCGGAGGGTTACTGTAAGTTGTACCTTACATTTTCATAGTTCATGCATTTTACTTTATTGTCTAAATATATGAGTTTGCATAATGTTTACATGTTAATACCCAGATAACCTGTTTTCGTATCCCCGTGTGGAAGAAGACTAACACGACATGCGTTGCAATCGCTTGCATCCCAATCCATGGTTTGTCGAGATGTGTTAGACGGGTGGTCAGCAGTGCTAAACAAAGATGAAAGATTGCGGAGCAATGACTCTCTGCGACGCTATTTCTGTCACACCAATGTTTCGGTAAAATAAATAAAGAAGCCAATATTTCCACTACGAATATAGAACATGCACTATATACAAATCCATTAATGGTTTTGTTTTGTATGCAGATGGATGGTATGATGAGGAACCTTTCTCTGGATATGCACGAAAGATACGAGATTTTAAAAAAAAACCTTTCAAGTTCCGCAAACAATGATAAGGAGATCATTAGTATGCGCAGCATTGACATGGTACGTATATAACATGCGTTTCTAATATCAGCGTACAATACTTAAAAATAATGTAGTTGTCGACTGTATCTTACGTATTTATAATTACAGGTATTCTTCCCGATCGTAGAGGAAGCATTCTACTACATTGTTGTTTTCGACTTGAAACGGCCCTCAATCGCTATAATTGACTCCAAGGATCGGGATGGCAACCTTGAAGATATATATGGAGCTAGTACGGTCGTATTGGTAAGTATACATTGTTAGTACTAATATTATACATGCCGCATGATTCCTTAATTATTTTGTCAACCTGATAATTTATTCAGCAAGATATGATGATATTTCATCTTATGAGAGAGGGCCACGATGCCGGAAAAATTTATGCTGAGATGGATCAGGAGCAAATCAGGACTCGGTGGCAGTCACATGAGAGTTCGATTGATTGTGGGGTAATGATGATGCGACATCTGGAGACGTATTTTGGTGCCGATGGGGGAAGTGGGACTGCGGTCTTTACAAAGAGAGTACAAAGCAGAAAAGGCAGCTTAAGGAACTACGGACTAAATACTGCGCGAAAATCCTTTTGAGTGAAGAGAACATCCGTAAGGCTTCGATCATCAATGACGTCAAGCGTTTCATTTCAATGGAAACATCGTACAACGCCAAGAAGACACGTGGAAATATACGAATTGGTCGAGGGAAGGTGTAGATGGCACTTGTATTCGGTTTTGCAACATGGATATCTCAATTTTTTGTTTAATGCTTTAGTATCTTCTATGCGTATAACATGGATTTTGATCATGAACATGATATAACCTGTTGGTTTTGTTTGAAAGTGAATGTGATAAATTAATATTTTATATGCGAATAAAATGGATCAGCAGTAGTAACCATACTGATAATGTAGTATTTGTCTGAATGTGCACATGTGCATGATCTATATGTCATGACCACACGCAAATATTTATTCATTTTATAGATAAAGCATCCATGTTTGATTTTGAATGAACAAGATGTTTGGTCCTTCATCCGGAGGTGTGTTGGTTAAACCAAAACTTATCTGTTTGTGAACGCATATACATGACACTTGATGTTACTAAACACGTTCAAATGAACAACGACATGTGTGCACATGCCAATGTTGTTTGAGTTTACTCCTTAATATCCATGATCGGTGTTTAAAGAACCAATTGTACGGTCCTTGATCCGGAGTTGAATGGGGTATAGCAACCATATTATATCATTACGTTTTTCCCACGCTGTCTATCATGTACTACTTATATTCTTCCCATGAACATGCTTTTTTGTATATATTGGTATACTGACACCTACATATTCACACAACTTATGGCAGTTTTAACTGATCACTATTTTTCGTGGACCGTTCTGTGACAATCAACAGGGACGCGCGTTGAACTCATAGGGAAGCGTGGGAGTGCAACTGGGATGTGTGACATTGCATGTCATTTAACATGTGGATGGACGTGTTGATACTATCTAGCATAACCTGAACTTGTATCATCGTGTCAGGTTCGTTCTGAACTTTATTTTTTGTTTACAACCCTTTAAATATATATGCGTTTTTATCTCGTAACATCGGTATATCAAAATCACGCATTTTGATTACTTTGCATCATGATTTGACTTACCATGTGATGAGATGTATAATGATCATTCCGAGAAGAATATTAATGCTTCATAGATATTGATATATGCATGAAACATCAAACATGATATATGCATCATGCAAACCAATATCCTTCTAATGTGCACTGTGTTTTCGCATTCTGATGTTTTTATGTTGTCTACGTAAAATGGTCGTTCCAGTAAGGTTCAAATTTTGCATTGACAAACATGTTATATATTTGTGTAATATCGTGAATTGCATCTAAATTTCATATACTGTATCCGTGGGCGCGCTACATGTTAGAAACATAATGAACACATACCTTTCCCGACTTCATGTTTCAATGTAGTAAACATATTCATTAAAACGGGGATACTACCATCCCCGAGAAGTTGGTGAAACCGTATAGGATATATAAAAAACACAATACAAAATGTACATAACGTATCAATAACACTAATGGCACTAAGAAATAGCATCAACAATTGATTCAATCAAAACACTGAGATCAAGTTCAAGTTGTTTAACAAATAAAGCCACATGAACAACATGTTTCGATGACGCCGACCTATTAGAACAAAACGATAAGAATTCTAAATACTTGCCATCTAACTAATCTATCAATTCTGGGCAATTACGGGAGTCATGACCACTACGTTGTCCAACACGTTGCACATTTTCGTTTAGCCTTTTTGCAATTAGTTTGCATTTTCTCAGATACACTTACCAGCCTCTTGCCAGTTCCACAACCTTTGTTTCTTATTCCAGATGGTGGTAGAATGTCCACCTCATCAGGTATGGAAACACCTAAATGATCTCTAATCGCATCCAACTTTTGTTGTGATGGGTCTTCGTATGGAACTTCCTTCTCTATATCAACCATGAATTCTTCGAGGTTACGCCCCAATCTATCYAATATAKATTGATCATTGCGGGYGATGCTTATTATGTYRTCSATCTTGGAATATAATTCAMTTATAGACTTTTCTTTCTCGRCGTTGACCTCCCCRTAACGAACTCTTGCGGACTGWATCTGTACTGGAACTAACTMTCGTTTCCATCGACGTAATACGTATTTTTCCGGAATGCATTCAACTTCGTCATTTATTAGTACCTTGAACGCGTGACGACAGAGATACCCATTACGTGTAAATAGGTTACAATCGCACTCGACTGTGTTTGTTGAGTAMTTACRRCCCACCTGTCATGAAAGAAGTTTCCAACAACATCAGTCAAGAAAACAATAAATATMATATAATCCATTGTGTTGCGAGTTAGGGATAGKATACCARATACGAGATGTTGTCATCTGATTTCTTGGCCGTCTGGCTTATCACGAATGACTTGAAATCATCCCGGCATTCCACGGTCTCAATAGCACAAAAYCAAACARCCTTCTTTATTTCCTTTTGGATGTCAAAAAACACGTTCCGACTGTATATGCTTGATGCATGCCTTTCTAWGYGCAATGGAGTAASAAACTTGGGATTAGTCGTTCTTGTCACTGATTCGTGAAYAGATTGTCTRTATCTTTGTTTTTCTATAGCTACGTCGTAATTATTAAGGAATTGCACCAAATCAAACCAGTACGATTCGTATATGTTGATATATRAATTCGAACTCTCGGATCTTGAGGTTGTTTTCATTAGMCCAGACATCGRCRTGTTCTTGTAGTAGGYAGGAATCCACGAGTGTCGGATTTCATACATCTCTGTAAACCAAGTATCCCCGGCTAGATTGTATTTATCTACCATCTCATTCCAACGGCGTTCGAACTCCGATGGGCCAATATGAATGTTCCATACGAGCTTGTTGATTACTTTATTGAACGTAGTATCATGATTTAGTGYRACACTAACCTGCGTCAACRAAGCTTCTACATATGAAAGAATAACACAAAAAACGCATTAAATTAGATAGCAGCGAATATATACTACTTACCTTTGAAGGGACCTTCTTCATAATGTGCCACATACATAGTCAATGCTTGGATTCGGTGAACACCTTTGGAATAGCTTGTTTCATTGCAGAACATTGATCTGTAATTACGAACACCGGTTGCTTCGCATGACACTTCAGAAAGGCCTTTAGAACCCACGTAAAGTTATCAATCGTCTCTCCACTTATGAGAGCGGATCCAACAACAGACGCCTTATGGTTGTCAACAGCCAAGAAAAGAACAAAAATCATTGCATGCCTGGAATACAAATAAAAAAATATGAGTATATAATCGTAGCCACGTCATATGTCCGTTAAAAATATCAAATCTTATCAACTTTAAATAACTGAATTGCAATTGGTGATCTTACTTGTTAGTGCGAAAGGTACCGTCGAACAATATGACATCACCGAATTCTTTGTAGTTAATTCTAGCAACTTCATCCGCCCAGAAAATTGCGCTCAACTCCTGCTCATTACATTTGTATTAAAAAAAAACGGGGACAACATCACGTCTGTTTGATAGTTTATTGATCAACATCGTCACGTCCTTATTCACAACACAAGCAACAACATCCCTCTTAAAATTCTTGAAGTCAATTTCAGAGATGAGAGTACGCTCAAATCCACCGTTCAATGCGGTTTGAATACGGTGAGACCTCCTCGCGTCGACTTTGTAACTCGAGCTATTTAGAACAGTTTTGAAATCTGTATACTTCATCTGTCTATTCTTCCGAGAGAAACGACAATCGTTATTATTGAACAATGCATGGTTATGTGCCTCAACGAACTCATATATCTCGTAACAAGCCCTATCCTTAGTCAAATGGATTTTTATGCAAGCATTACAACCACAACGTTTGATGTTTGTATTACGGTATCTCCTCTCATCCGGCTGCATGTACAACGAATCAAAATCCTTCTTTTTTGGGTTTCCCTCCCTACTGCAGACAAACCACCTAGTTTGAATTTCACCATGCTTGTTCGTCTTTTTTACATGCATGCGAACATCAAAGCCGGCGTTGTCCGCATAAGTCCTGTACATCTTTTCAACTTCATTTATAGTCGCATATTGTGCTTTCATATTTGGCTTAAGCGCGTCATCTACCTTCGGGATAAAAAATTTTATTCCATCTGAACTCTCTCCTATGTCATAATCAACTTCTTGTTGTGAAGAAGTTATGCTATCAAGATCTGATGGAACAAAGTAGTTAGGATGTGGTATTAACGTTGGTATAACAATAATTGAATCTACCAGATAAACAAGCAGGTAGGTAAAGATAAACTACAAACAACTTGAAAAAAATATCTTAATTGATTTGTCGAACATACCTCATTATTACTATTGTATATAAATAGGTAATGTAATCTGATATGACCATTTATGTTACAGGTACAGCATGATGCATGACATGGTGACATATATCATAAAGAAAAGATCTTGAGGTAATATGCAACTACCTTTTGTTTTGAATAATCTGTGAAAAAATGAGAAAAGTACGTGGGATATGCATCCATATGAACAACGACATGACATATCAACAACATGTGAACACATCTGCATCTCTTGACGTTGTGAATATGTTCACAAAGAGGTGTGTTCGACGAATATAAAGCAGTGATGAACGAATGTACAACATCTGTTCATTTGTCGGCCCTGCATATCGCTGCCTCCGTGTGAACATGATCAGCATGAACGTAGAGCGCTTGCCGTCTTTGTTCATGTGGCCATGATCGGCCATGCGCTTCGTGTGAACAGCACCTATGTGAACGACCACAACATTCACACAGCATCCTAATGGGTAAACGAACACAGCCGCTGATCACATGAACACATGGAAGATGGAGGCATCGAAAATTTTATGCACATTATGATCATCCCCGTGTTCGTACATTCATATAGAGGTGTGCTCGACGAACATATAGAAACTATGAACACATGTACAACTTATGTTCATATGTCGGCCATGCGTATCTATGTGAACATCACCTGTGTGAACGACCACAACATTTTAATGTGTAAACGAACACAGCCGCTGATCACATGAACACATAGAAACATGGATGCAGCGAGAATGTTATGCACCGTATCATCGTCCGAATGTTCGTGTGAACATCGATTGTGTCTTGCAATGTACAAAGTTGAACACATGTTCAGATTTGAACAAAGATACTGCAATCTTTTGTTCACATCTGCTGCATGTTGATCCTTGCTTTTCGAAAAACACCACACCATATTTTGATGTGGTCAACACATAGGAGCATCTTAGTGGAAAACATGGATGCAACAAAAAATGTTATGCACCGTATGTTCTAAAAATCAGACTCAATAATCATTATGTTCATTTTATACAGGGATGATTGCAGAATGTTCATGCTGCTAATTTCTTTGTAATCATACTTTCTTAGGATGTGTTCATATGTTGTATGTCTTATTATCTACTACCATTGTTTCATATTTTGTAGTGTGTTTTTTGAACATATGTAGGCCCATATATTGCATCAGATTCTTGGACGATTTCAACCATATCGCAAAGCATATTTAATATACAACAAAGGTAATGGTTGTTCATTTGAACAATATACAAGAAATACTAACCACTTACCAATCGGAACGCTTTGATCATCTTCTTCATCATCGGGAATCGTGTTTCGACCGTATTCATATCCGGAATTAAGTTTGTCGTTTACATTATCCTGAAGTTGTTTTACAATCGGATTCTCCATTTATCTTGGACGAAACGAAAATATTCTACACTTAGCCAACCAATTTCAATATATGTAGAACATCAATTGAAATCAAGAACATGAACATGAAATAATAAAGAAATCATAAAAATCTCATGATTAATTAGATGTATCTTTAAAGATTTGTAACTCCCAATTAATTATTAGGGGGTTACAAAAGGTTAAATTACCAAATTACCCCTATCTTTAATTTATAAATTAAATTTGAACCTAAATTCAAGAAAGCATTTGATTGGTTGGTATCGGTTCACATAGTTTGCGCAAAATGGTTGGTTTCTATTTGAACCAACCCCTCTCTCTCTCTCTCTCTATATATATATATATATATATATATATATATATATATATA